AAAAATTGTGATGAAAACAACTTCTAAGTCCTTAGACAAGTAAATGGTATATTATTTGAGCTAAGAGAAAACTCACTAGAAATGGTATTTCTATAACGACTTTATTTCCCTGATTTTGCTTTGGCTCAGATCTCTGTCTACAAAATTGCTTTCACAGTTATGGGAATGACTTCAAGTTCATACTTTTTTTTTTATTAAACCCAAGATAACTAAGGGTGTAAATATGGAAGCTGATTTAAAAAGCAGTTCTTCTATTAAAAAAAAAAAAAGCAATTCTTCTGAGTATGAGAGATTAATTTCCTACATATTGTGGCAGGCAGTTAAATTACACTGTTATAGATAGTTTTGTTTATATTTGCTCAGAGACAGGTATATAGTTTTGGAGTATTTGTAAGTGCAAGTCATTCATTTACGATTTTCTCTCTCCAGAGGGAAAAAGTAAAAAAAAAAAAATTAACTCACTCCTCAAATCAAAATAATCCGACTGATTTACAGGAAGAATAAACATTTTTTCCTAAGGTTTGTGTGAGAACAGAAACTTATTTCCTCTTGGCTTTGTAATTCCATAAGAGAAAATATTAAGTACAGGAAACTTAGACCACGAGGAATCAAAAAGTGTTTTATGGATATATGCACCCTGATGTTTACTGCAGCATAACCAACAATAGCGAAATTATGGAAGCAGCCCAAGTTCAACTCAACTGATGAATGGATAAAGAAGACGTGGTATATATATACTTTGGAATATTATCCAGCCATAAAAAAGAATCTTGCCATTTGCAACAACATGGACGGATCTAGAGGGTATAATGCTAAGGGAAATCAGTCAGTCACAGAAACACAAATACTGTATGATTTTACTCACACGTGGAATTTAAGAGACAAATGAACAAAGAAAACAAGGGACAGACAAAAACCAGACTCTTAAATATAGAAAGCTGATGGTTACCAGAAGGGAGGTGGCGGGGGGGGGGGGGTGTTGAAATATGTGAAGGTAATTAAAAATACAATGAGCCCTGAGTAATGTATAGAACTGCTGAGTCAATGTATCGTACACCTGAAACTAATATAACACTGTATGTTAACTATACTGGAATTAAAATTCTAAAAAAAGGAACACTGAGAAAAAAAAAAGTATAGAATATCTTTGGTCATCAACAAATTTCAGCTACATCAAAATTATGACAAGGTCTCTTTAATCCCAGAAGAACGTTTGTGACCTTTTATGTGACAAATACACAGAATATGTAGGATTCAACTTTTGTTAAAGAATTTACATCTCTAAAATATAGAGACACACACACACACTTGTACACACCAAACACACAAGGGGTTACCCCAGGGGAGCACGAGGGAGGCTTTCACTCTTTATTTTAAGCTCTTCTGAACCATTAATTTGTTACAAGCACATATTCCAGTTATTATTTTAAGAAATTGAGTAGGGGTGTTAGGCATTATGGTGCTACAAAAAAGAATGCTCTTTTGCCTGTGAAAAAGGGATGCTCTCAGGGTGCCCGGGTGGCTCAGTCGGTTAAGCTTTCAACCTTTTTTTTTTTTTTTTTTTAAGTACGCTCCATGCCAGACCTGAGCTGAGATCAAGAGTCAGGGGCTTAACTGACTGAGCCACGCAGGTGCCCTAAGCATGGAGACTACTCAAAAAAAAAATTTTTTTTTTAAATAAGACATGCTCTTATATCTCCAACCTAGAAAAATTGAGAAGTCTCTGGATTGGGCACAAATACACATAATTCAATTTAGGCTTTGTTTGTAGCTTTTATACAGACTCTGAATGACTCAGAACTGAAAATTTATTCTACTTATTTTGTGCTTTCCATTTTTTACTGACATCTTTCCTTATTTTGATAAAACTGTTAGTTGGGGAGGCTTAGTAATTGAGGGGAAAAAGTGACAGCCAGAATTATGAAGATAAACATTTGGATTAAAAACAAGAGACCATTTGTGCAATTTTTGTGTGGCAATTTGTTCTGCATCTACATTTCCATTTCTGGAAGTAGCAAAAACAGGGACAGCAATGACAGCCGGCATTTACTGAGCATCTATGCTCTGGGCTGCAGACTATTACAAATGCTTTACTCACACTGACTCATTAAACGTTCCCTTCGACCCCAGGAAGGAACAAAGACAACTTGTCCTAGGGGCACAGAAAGAATCTGAACCCAGAATGCCTGGCTTCAGAGCCCAAACCTAGTTTTTTTAAAATCAAGTACCAGGTTACTGTAAGTGATCGTTTATATGCTCTTTTGGGGACATCAAACTCCAATTCCACATCGTTTCAGTTGGGGGAGAAAATGTCTATGCTGTTCATGCCTTTTGGTACAGAAATGTATTCTAGACTGGGTGTGAATAATATTCTATATTGTTCGGAGCCCGCAGTAAGCCCCAGTGCATTTGGACACATCTTCACCCTTCACAGCGTCCAAGTGTTGAAAATCTCTACCATATCAAGCTGCTTTGGTTTTCAGTCCATATAGCAAACACCAAGTAACGAAAGTTTAATGCTCTGCCCTCACCTAACTCCTTCTGCATTAGGACGTTAGAATACAAATGTGATGCGAATTACAGAAATACTTTAAAATTGTTCTCTGAGAGGGAGCTGCCTTCGTGACCACGTAAGTGCTATTAAAAATATTTATACTTCTGGGGCTCCTGGGTGGCTCAGTTGGTTAAGCGTCTGCCTTCGGCTCAGGTCATGATCCCAAGGTCCTGGGATTGAGTCCTGCATTGGGCTCCCTGCTCAGCAGGGTTCTGCTTCTCCCTCTGCCCCTCACTCCACTCATGCTCTAAACTCGCTCTCTCTCAAATAAATAAAATCTTTAAAAATATATTTATACTTCTGTTCAAATGCTGTAGGTCTCCTCCATCTCAGCTGATTAATTTAGGTGTTCGTTTGCAGGGTCAGATATAAACAGTGATGTCTGGAATGTTGGTGTGGCTGGAAATGGACCACAAAGCACTGTTACACAGCCAGACAAAACCTTCTCCCGGTTCCTGATGCTCAGGGTGTCAGGCAGATGACCACATGGTACAGCGAAATATTTTTGGCAGGAATGTGAAACAGAAACCCCAGTTTGGGGTGGAGGGAGGAAGCTGGCAGGAAAATGTTCTTATAATGGATGACCCACTGTACCATCTGTGTCTGGGGATATTTAAGAGTTTTATTTTGACTTCACATCTGACCTCATGATTTTTAAAAAGAAGTGGAAGCAGACATATGATGAGTTACTTAAGACTTTGCTTGAGTCCACATGTCATTTTTATCCTGTTTACTCTAAAATGACCCCTCTGGGGGCGCCTGGGTGGCTCAGTCGTTGGGCGTCTGCCTTCGGCTCAGGTCATGATCCCAGGGTCCTGGGGTCGAGCCCCGCGTTGGGCTCCCTCTCCCACTCCCCCTGCTTGTGTTCCTGCTCTCGCTATGTCTCTGTCAAATAAATAGATAAAATATTTTTAAAAAATAATAAAATGACCCCTCTGTACACTTACTAGACTTGATTCTAAAAGGCACAAACCCCACCCCTCGGCTGTCATTGTCATGTTTTCTACAATAAACTATCTGTTCCACAGCACACTTACTAAAAACTAATAAGAATTCAGGTTTGGAAGTGGAAACTTGGGAAGATAGAAAAATACTCAGTTCCAGTCTATTTTAACCATTACCCTTTTGCCTATAAAGAAACAAAGAATTTAAAATTTTTGTCAATGGTTTACTCACGATTCAGTCCACACTGCACATTTTCACATCTAATTAAATTCAGTGTGCACTCATCAAATCACGTGAAGCATTTACATTCATTTTACCTAAAGCATTTGGTCAGAGTGGAGGGTGTGTTTTTGGTAGCTTCCCAAACCTCAACTATAGTTTAGCTTGTCAACAAAAGAAGCCCCACGGGATACATTATAGCGACATCACCAGTGACAAGAAAGGTCTATCCTGAGCTCAATGTGAGCCAGCGGTGAGCACAATGACCACCTTATAGGATGGGTGGTGCCCTTCGAATCCCCATTTTACAAATGAAGTGTAAAGAAGGGTGACTTTCTCTCTCTAGGTCATGATGGTTCGAGCGAGCGGGAGAGTCAGGAACAAAGCCCTGTCCTAGAAGTACACGATGACAGCTTAGAGACACGTGAAAGGGAAGTCACGTTAACGAGGCTTGCAGGGAAATATCACATGTCATAAAATCTTTCAGGGTAATTTCTCAATTAGTTTCCGTTTTTAAGAAAAGCAGGGGTGAGCAGGAATCCCAATGAGGAAAGGATGAGAAAGAACACCTTAAGCACCTGTCAAAATGAACTGTGGCAAAGACTCCCTTCTCTGGCCCCAGGGGCCCTTATCAGAGAGGCCTTTCTGGACCACCCCATCTCCAATCGCCCCCACCCCATCACCGCTCACTCTCCCTATAACTGGAGTTCCTTCCTTCATGGCACGAGTCACGTCCTGACATACTGTGCCCTCAGCTGGAGAGTAAGCACCGTGAGGACAGAAGCCTATACCTATGCTTGGAAAAGGGCAGGAACAGAACCGTTGTTTGCTGAATTAATACATGAACTAATACAATCTCTCTCCCTCCGTCAAAGTTTTAACGAAGAACATTTCATGCCAGTACTTTTTACTGAGCGTGTCCTGGTAAGTAGGGTTACAAACACTGTGGGACTTTTGCAGGCTGTCTTGTATAAAATGAGCAAGTACATAACTAGAAGACATGGCAGCAAACCAACAGCCCCAGAAGACAGCCACCAGGCCACTCAACCCAAGCTTGCTTTTCTGCTCCCATCAGCCCAAGGCCAGTGAAACCACCAGACGACGGGAATCAGCAGAGCTCCTTATGAATTTTGATTCTTGGTGTTCATTCTACCCATGACCATTCTAAAGCTTCCTCCAGGGTTTCAAAAAATGGTTCTAGCAGGTGAAAAAAATCCATACCTCCTGCAAGTGCACTATCCCCATCTGTCCTCATCCCCCGCTCCCTCGGAATGCCACATACCTGTAACTTTACCCAGGCTCATTTTGGGGAAGTCAGGGTTCCTCAGCTCCTCCGTGCTTGCAGACTTCATGACAGAGCTGATTGAGGACAGGGTGCTAATGAGCTGCGAGTTCAGAGAGCCAATCTGTGAGTGTGGCTCCCCAAAAGCTTCTGCCAGTTCACTGTAGTTCTCAGCCAGCAGAGCCTGCTGCTCTGCCAGTAACTTCTGGACGCGCTCGATGTAGTGGTCCAAGCCGGTCATCGTGCCAGAAGGAGCCTGGGGCTGGGGGCTCTCCGTGAACTCTCCAACGGGCTCATCCCCAACACCTACGCTCCTCCTGCTGGCTGCCAGCCCCAAAGTCAGCTGCGGGGGACCACAAGCTATGGTCCTCATTTTGAGACCAACCAGATAGTTGTCGTGAATATTTATCTGCCCCACGCCTGACTCTTTGGTCTTCACAGCCGAAGGCCTGTCAAAGCCAGAGCTGCCAGACAGCACCGTTCCCACGCCAATGGACCGCATCTTGGCGGAGGAGTTGACATCCTTCACACGGCCTTCCCCGATGGCCACGGTCCGCATCTCCACAGCCTGGGTGCTGGTCTGCTTGTCCAAAGTGCTGAGGGAGGTGCTGGTGCTGGAGTCCACGAGGGTGGCCGTCTCGGTGTTGGTGGACTGGTCCACCTGTCCCCAAGCCATACTGGTGTGCTGGCTGGTGGTCGGAGGCACCGCCATGACAGCGGCCTCGACCTGGCTAACAGCCTCCGTGTTCACGCTCCGCGACGCGCGCTCCTTCGGGGGGCAGACGGTCACATCGACAGAACAATCCCCGCAGCCGATGGATCGCACTTCTTTGAGATTCAGGTTGGTCTTGAGGAGCGAGAGGTCGTTCACAGACTCCTCCGTGTTGCTGCCTGTTTCGCAGATACTGATTTCCACCCCCACACTCTTGTCGCACGTCTCCACGGACCTCCCGGCACACTGGTCACGCATCTCCACCCGTTCCTTGACAATCCACCAGTTCAGGGGCAGCTCAGGCCCCGCGGCTCTACTCTCACACGCGGGCTGGCAGGAGACCGCCACGCTGCGCGTGTGCACGGAGGTCCCGACGCCCGTGTCGGCCACGTCCACGTGGCGGCCCACCATCTGGTCTCTCGTGGGCACCACGGCCTCCACCATCTTGCTGCAGACAGGCGGCTGGGCCGTCACGGCTTTGTCCACCTTCTTCCTCGACCCAGCGGCCTGCAGTTCTTGCTTGAGCTTGGTCATCTCGCGGTCATGCGTGGTTTCCTTCAGTTGAACTTCCAGGCGGTAGATCTTTTCCTTCAGGGCTTCTATGGTCTGCTGCTGCAGCTCGATTTCTTTGTCAGCTTCCGTCATCAGTCCCAGCATGGCCTCCGTCACGCCGACCCCAGAGCTCCTCGTCTCAGTGACGGTCCCCACAGCGGCGTCCCTACAGGCCCCGGGGCCCCTGCGGTACACGACCACGTGGTCCATGTTCTCGTTGGCACCCACGGCCACGGACCGGCACTCCCCGTTCTCCCGGAGCTCCGAGGAGGCCTCGCCGCTGCTGTCCTGGATCTTCTGCTCCAGGGCCCGCATGTCCGCTGCGAGCTGCCGGAACTCCCTGATGCTCTGCGTGCTCTGCTCTACGCTCCTCATCTCCTCCTCCTCGTAGTCGATGTACAATTCCCCGCCGCCTCGCCGGGCCCCGGAGAGCTCTTCCAGCTGGGATGCGTTCCCAGCGCTGTAGGACCGCTTCCTCATGCCCCCGATGTCGTTCTGGGCTGTGGCTCTCTGGTTTTTCAGCTGCGAGGCCAACTGTCTTTTCTCCTCCTGCAAGACTGAGATCTTTACCTGGAGCACGGGGATGGTTCGCACCTGCTCCTCGAGCTCCTTCAGGCGTTTCAGGGCGATAGCCATCTGCTCGCGGATGTGCTGCAGGTGCATGGGGCTCACGTTGGTCACTGGAGTGGAGATCCCGGAGCTCAGGGGGCTGTGGCGCATGGAGCTCCCCATGGACGAAGTGGTGGCAGGAGCCGGGGCATAGCCACTGTAATCCCCGTTGCCTTGGTACCCGTTCTGAAGTGGGTGCACGGCGGGATTGTGGTTTCCAGAACCCATAAAGGAGGCGAGCGAGCTCGTGGAGCCCATGCCTCCAAAACTGGCCAGCCTGGGCCGTCGGAACTCACCCGGTGCCACCTGCATGGCGACTCTCTCCTGTTCCAGTCTTCTCCGGGTCTCCATCAGCGTCTTGGTGACATGAAGGTTGTGCTTCGGGAGCTGTGGTGAGGGTGGTGGCAGCTCTCGGCTCTCCGGGATGGTAAGAAAAGTGGGCGAGGCCTCCAGAGGGGCAGGGGGCCTTGGGATTGGCGTCGATGTCACTTGGCTTCTGGCGAGGAGGAAGTGGGGGCACTGCTTGTTGTCATCACTGTTGGAGGAGGACAGGGATTCTGTGGAAGTCCATACACCTTGCTGGCCGGGCGCCGCCCTGCCGTCTGGGCACGGCACCGATGGCTTCCGCCTCTTCTGGATGTTCAGTTTCTTGATGGTGTTTCCTTTCTGTATGTCATCCACGTACTTGAGGAAGTCTAAGTCTAGCTGATAACCGTAGGGGGTCTCCACAAAATAAGGGTCTTTCTGTTCCTTGTCATGATCTCCATTCAGAACACCCTCTGCTTTTCCTAGGAGAGCGAGAAGACAATATTATAAAGCTATGGAATACACTTGGTGATAAAAAAACAAAAACAAAAACTAGCATTTGTGTATGGTGCAGTGTGGCCAACTAGTATGATTTAAGAGTTGACAGCCTTCTTTCTGTTCTAATCCTGGATCTACAACTTAACAGCTGGGTGAGTAAGTTAATAAACCCTTTGGAACTTCAGTTTCTCCCTGAGTAAAAATGGAAATACACGTATTTACCTCATAAGGTTGTTATAAGAATGTAATGAGACAGTGGTTTTTAAAGAGCCAAGCGTATATTAAGTCCTCACTAAACACTTTATTTTTGAAAAGAACGTACTGAAAAGACGTGAACGCATTTCGAGGTGATCATTTCTTTTGTGGTCTCTAGTCCACTGAAGTCTAGAGAGCAGTCCTTAAGACTCCTATTTTATAAAGTGAACGCTGAGGCACCAAAAGTGAAAAGTCAGAATAACGGACCAAATCAGCAGAGATGCAGGAAGCCCGGGGTGGGAGTTCTTACAGCAGTCACTCTTCTGCAGACTTTGCAGCCTTTCTAAACAGCGGCCAAGGGCACCCTGGTGCCTGACAACCCTCCCCAAGATCACAATTTGCCTTGACCCCTTCCTTGCTGAGAGAGCCAGGACCCAGGGGCCGATGAGTGATGAACTCCGGCAGCATGGGTAGGAACACAGTTGGAGAACAGACTTCAACTCTATTTCGTGTCTTCCCGTTTAAAACCACCACCATCACCAAAAGCCTGCCCCAACTAGAGAAAACGTTTTTCTCCTCTTTGACTTCTTTTGGACAAAACATCCCATATCCTAAGAATACCCCATGTTGTGTTTTACCATATGCAAACAGATGCAAAAGAGAATGAAAATAAAAGCAAACCTATACTCCAAGCCCTGGATCCTGCGGCATTCAGTAAATGCTACTTCTGGCTAAACCAAACATTTAGAAAAGGAAACGCAAGAACTTTTTCAAGGCACAGACCTTGCTGCTGACCTGAGCTGTGCATTTCAAATGGAAAAGCAAGGCCGTTTTTGTTTGTTTAAATTGTAGGATTAAGTAATGTGTTTTCCTAAAGTCGTAATAACAAGCTCTGTATTTTTTGAGCTATGGAAAATACCCAAAAGCAATGAGTGAAAATGCAAGCCATTTGTACCCCTACTCCTATCCTGGGTATAAAAACCCACCGGACTGTTGTCAAGTACTTCCAGCAATGTGGGTTGCCTGCCTGCCCTTCCCAGTCCAAACCCTGCTGAGCATTTACACCTGATAGGGTGAATGCTCTGAGTAAACCTTTCGCCTCCAATTTGCCCTCTTTCCTCCGAAATGTTGGAAAGAAAAGTACAAAAAGACTGCCGAGCAGCAGAGTTGTGTATTCTCCGTGCCCTGATTTAAAACAATATTAAACTGTTCTCGCTGTTGGAAATGAGGCACCAGATTTCACTTCTAAAACATGGCAAGAGAATTCTACTTGAAAGAAGTGCTCAACCTTAATCACTTGCTCACCCATGTAAGGGTGAGCTGATGATGAGCCGGCACCAGGAAGCCTGTGCTCATGCTAACAGAACTGCGTCTTTCTTTCCCTCTTTCTTTCCTTTTTAACTCCACATGGACAACACGCTCACCCAAAATATGCAGCCCGACCTGTTTCCAGTGCTGTCTGAAATTCCACAAGCAAAGAGAAGCTGCCCGCTCTGGTGTCAGGTAAAAGCGGGCAGATCTGACGGACAGGAGCCCCCCGATTCTAAAACTGGGCTGTGGCTCCTCCAGGCCACAGGGGGCTCAGCCCTGGGACCAGGCCCCCGCCCCCGCGCCCTCCCCGCGCCCCCCCCGCCTTGCGCTGGGCTGCCTGCCGGCCGCTCACCCTCCTCCCAGGCGCCCGCTGCGCTCTCCACCCGCCTGATCACCCGCAGGCCGCGCACCCTCCTTCCGGGGGGTGGGCGCGCCCGCTGCGCTCCGCTCCCCGCCGGCAGCTCATCCCCCCTCTCCGGCGCCCGCTGCGCTCCGCTCCGCGCCGGCAGCTCACCCCCATCCCGGGCGCCCCGAGGGCTCCCCACCGGCCCGATCGCCACCAGCCGCACAGCCGGCCTGCTCCCTGCTCCGCGCCCGCCGCACCCCCACCCCCGGGGCGCCCGCCCGGCTGCCCAGCTCACCAGCTGCCTCGCACTTCGCCCCGGCGCTGCCTCGGACGCCCTCCGTCGGTCTTCACCGGGTAAGGAAAGGAGGCTCAACATTCGTGCACACTCCGCCGGGCCACGCGCAACACCATAGGCCCGGGTCGCACCAATGAAGTCTCCCTCCGGCTCCGGCGACACCACCCCCAGCCCACTCAGCTGCTCGGCACTGCCTGCTTTCTTAATGAACCCAGGAGCGCGGGATCTCGTGAAAATGCGTGTCCTTCAGGCCAGCGTGGCCAGGCGTGCAAACACCGCGGGCGATTCCAACATCACACACAGGCTGTGCGTCTGCGGTACGAGCCGCTTCCGAGGGCGAGTTTGGGTGCTCCTGCCGACGCCAGGCAGCCGCGGCCCTGGTCACCGGAGGACGTTCCGCGCACAACAGGCACCACTGTCCCCAGCAGGTTCTCCAAGCGCGCGGCAGTCCCGGCTGGTCAGGGCCCTGCGGGAACCCTTCTCAGCCCTTGGCTCCTCACCAGCCACAAGCAGTTATCCCTTGACCACAGTATGAATCTCAGCCTTTGCCCTTGATGAAAAGTTCTTTAAAAAGCCCCACCGTTTTCCAGTTACAAAAGTAGTCCATGGCTTATGTTAAAAAAAAAAAAAAAAAAAAAAAATCACCTCCAGGCCATTTAAAGAAGGAAAAAAGTCCCTCGGCTCTCACCGCTTAGGGGCCCTATTAATATTTTGGTGTAACTCCAGAATTTTTCTGTGTATTTCTTAACAGAGTTATTTTACCCATTTTCAGTAGAAAAGGTTAATTTTTATCTATTTCCCTTCAACATGCTTTTTTTTAAAAAAAAAAAAAACAGCACTGATTTGATGTCAGGATTTAGAATGCAACAAAGCACATCACATTTTTTTTTTTAAGATTTTATTTATTTGGGCGCCTGGGTGGCTCAGTCATTAAGTGTCTGCCTTCGGCTCAGGTCATGATCCCAGCGTCCTGGGATCGAGTCCCACATCGGGCTCCCTGCTCTGCAGGAAGCCTGCTTCTCCTTCTCCCACTCCCCCTGCTTGTGTTCCCTCTCTCGCGCTTTCTCGCTCTCTGTCAAATAAATAAATAAAATCTTTAAAAAAAAAAAAAGATTTTATTTATTTATTTGACAGAGAGAGAGAGAGCCAGCACAAGCAGGGATGCAGCAGGCAGAGGGAGGGGGAGAAGCAGGCTCCCCGCCGAGCAGGGAGCCCGACGTGGGGCTCGATCCCAGGACCCCGGGATCATGATCTGAGCCGAAGGCAGACACTTAACCAACTGAGCCACCCAGGTGCCCCAAAGCACATCACATTTTTCAGTGAAACTTAACTGGCCGGCCCATCTTTAGCTATTTCTCAAGTTCACAAAACGCATAGGTCATGCTGAATTATCCCCCAAATGAACCCTGGACTTCTCAATCTGGGACTCAGGAAAGGTTAGAATTTAACCATGTTAGGCTTGATGATTTCCTAATACTGCTTAAATCAGACTATCCTAAGAAGCTGTCATCCAAATTTCATCCCCCAGCACCTAAAAAAGCAACCTGTGTTTCTCAAGGTGTCATTTTTACAATCAACTGTCCACTGTATGTTCTACAACTAAAGAAAGACACCCAGTGTCATTTTTTTACCTCCTGCTTTCTGGTGTACCTTCACAAACGGAACACAAATATGGCATTTATAAGGCCCTGATTGATTTCCCAACTTCTCCAAATGTGTAGGTTTTCTCTCTGTGCTTGATTACGTATCTTAAGAGCAACAAATTTAATTTTTAAAATTTCCTTCACTACCCCCCTTCCCAATCATACACATCATTTAATAAGATGTGTGGAACTATGGAGATGTTTAAACATGTATCCCGAAGGAATAACTGAACATACAGTAGTATATAATGAATTTTTAAGAACATCTTAATATTCTGTAGGCAGAAGTTGCTTGCTCTGTATTAGTGTTAAAGACAATTCTTACAAGAAGCTGTTTCAGTGGTTATCTTTAGATTGTAGAATCATGGATGGTTTTTATGTTGTTCCTTATATCTTATACATTTTTACAACACATAGCTACTTATCTCATAAAAAATATTTACAAGATTATAAGAAGTTACTGGGAAGCAAGAGAAAATGTATTGAAATAAACTCCAAGAAAGTTCTTTTAGGAGGGGGATGAACAGGGCAGCCATGGCAAAGACAGCCAGATGTTCCTCAGTATGTGTTATCCCATCTTTGAAACTAACAGGACTCCTGGTTTAGTTGGGCACATATAAAGACTACATTTCTCTGGCCTCTTTTACTGTTAGTATGGCCATATGCAGAAACGTCATAAAGCAACCCCCCGGAACCTCCCTTTTGAAGACACAGGAATAGTTCTCTGGCCTCCTTTCTTCTTTGTCACTTCCCCCATCCTGCTGCCTGGAATGCAGATGTGATGACTGGAACACTAGCTGCTTTATTGGACCGTGAGTTCACACATAGGGATGGAAGAACAATGTGCTAGAAAAATCCTGAGTCTCTAAGGCCTCTGCGGATCAGAGCTATCATACTACACCTGGAAAGCCACCTCTATACGTCTATGTAAAAGAAAGATAAACTTCTCTTTTGTTAAGCTATTTTGCGTGTTGGGTCTCTGTTACTTGGATCTACACTGAATTCTAATGGATACAGCAGTCACTCCCCTGTGTCTCCCCTGCCCCACAAAAAATTAAGACCAGATCTTGAAAAGAAGAAAAATGTTAAATGATTAACTGGGGTATGTTACAGTAAAACTTTTTTATACAGAAATTTTTATTAACTCAACAATAATCAGGAAAGAATTAAAAAAACAGTTTGTAAAAAAATCTC